GAGGACTTTAGGGAGTGATGCTGGGACTCTCCTTCATTCCCTTCTGTTCCACCCACAGTAACCTGCAGAACTCCCAACAGTGAGATGCGGGTCCCAGAAAGCAGAAAGGGGATCCTGGGGGAGACTTGAAGTGATGGCAGCAGCAGAAGTCTAGGCCTTCGGTGAACATCAGCAAGCAGTAGCAGATATCCACAGTTTACATGGCTGTCCCAGTCTTTGCCGAGTGACAGTGATGGTAGAAATGGGGAGTAGGGAAACAAGAGGAGGAAAAGGTGGCCCCTCACAGAAGCAGTGATGCCTGCAGGGAGATAAGCTTCTGGCTTGGCCTCCAGTTCACAAGAAGAAAATACTTCAGAGTCTTGAATTAAGAAGTAGTCCATTTGAGGGCGCCTGGGTGGCTCAGTCGTTGAGCGTCTGTCTGCCTTCGGCTCAGGTCATGATCCCGGAGTCCTGGGATCAAGCCCCGCATCGGGGTCCCTGCTCAGCGGGGAGCCTGCTTCTCCCTCTCCCACACCCCCTGCTTGTGTTCCCTCTCTCACTGTGTCTCTGTCAAATAAATAAATAAAATCTTTAATTAAAAAAAAAAAAAGAAGTGGTCCATTTGATGACCACAGTGGAACACACACACACACACAACACACGTAGCCACAAAATCCTTTGGGGAATTGCTTCACCAAGGAAAATAAAATGATGTATAATTGGCACATCAATTTGAAACATAAATCCTTCCAATATGCTTGAAAATCATTTATTCCTTTAAATCTTTTAGCACCTACTTCTCTGCCCACCCCCAGATTCCATTATCAGACCTCACCCGTCAACTATTTGTTGAGTACCTACTCTGTGCCAAGACCAACCTCACGTATCTACTGTTAGTTTGCACAACCTACAAGCATTTGCTGTGCATCAGAAATACTCACTTGCCCAGTTCCTTCCCACGTACTGCCTCTGGGCCCCCTCTTTCTCTTCTTCTTTGCTCCTTCTCTTCTCTAAAATTCACTCAACCTGACTGGCCCTCCTAGAAGGCCTTGTGGGTGCTGCTTATTCTAGAATCCCACTCCCGGTCATATCCCAAGCCCAGATAGATGAGATTCCCCCCTTCTCCCGGGATAAGGAAACAGACACCGGTCCTGGCTGCCGCGAGACTGTGAAACAGGATAAATGAAGACTGCCTCTATTTCTGCCTACATTCTATTTTCTAGGCTCTAAGAGGACTTGCTTCTTTTTCCTTCTTTCTTTCTTTTCCCTCATTCCATTTTTCCTTTTATATCCCTTTGTTTTTCTTCTCTTTCATCCTTCTTTTCAACCTTTATCTGTGAAACTCCTGCATTCTGCTAAGTGGTATGGAGAATCAGGGGAGATATCAAGTATACACATGCCCAGCTCACACAGAGGAGAAATGCATATATTAGGCTGCAAATGATGAAAACAAGGAATCGAGAAGTTCATCCCAAAGAACTCTTCTTGGGAAAAACTCCTTACAGGTATTCATAGAAGGCTTAAGCCTATTAGACTTCATTTACATTTCATAGCTTTTACTGAATTTTCTTCAACTGTCTCTCCAAACATACTTCTCTGGTCCATAAACCATTTCCAGGGAAATTTAGATCATATTAGGTATAATTCCTGTAACTTTGCAAGAATATGAGACGGACCATTCATTTCTAAGCAAAGCTCTGTATTTAAAAGATCATGTTTAGTAAAAGGCGAATCCTCAGTCAGCATTGCCCATAACACCATCCTCCCACATTCTGATAATCATGGTGGTCTGTATCTCCTTAAAATACTGCTTACTGGGACCTGCATGCCACTTTTAATTTCATTGCTTCTTTATAAACATTTATTTATTAAACTATGAACAAGTCTATTCAAATTGCATGGGGCTAAATGTGAGAGAAATACTAATAACATTGGATATGCCCAGGCTTCCCCAACCTATAATTGCTTTTAAGTAAAAAATATTTCATGCTAAAATTAGATAACAAATAAGGCTTGGAGGTGACTTCTTTCAGCATATTGTATTTTCCTTAGGGATAATGTAATATGGAATTCCAGGGAGGCAGCATCCAGGCTATTTTGTGAAGCTTGTGAAATATTATAGCATTAAGGTAACCACTTACTCCTGCGTGTCTGGGGGCTCCGAGAAGTCAGAGGAATTGCTCACTGGCCCACTGCTTCCTGGAGTTTCACTTTTAAAATGACCACGATGTAATTAGGAGGCAGCCTGATCCATAAAGACCACCTAAGGCAAGGAAACTTACCTGTAGGAGAGGCATTAGCTCTGCCTTCCCTTTTCCTGGAACATGATGAACACACAAAGACAAGCTCCTCTTTAAGCCACCTGGAAGAAACAGAATCTCTCTCCTGGGAGTCTAGCCAAGGAAAAGAACTTTTGTTAATCACTACTCATTATCAATTTGGCCAAAGGATTGGAGGTTTATTTTTTTGCATCTGGGTGGCACAGACTCTGGGCAAACTTTATCACATAAACAAGTAGTTTACAACTCTGGGTGGTTTCCCTGGGGCAGAAACTCTCACACTTGTCCTTCTGAATGTCTACTAGGATCTATTTCACCTTAAAAGACTTGGCATTTTCAGTCATCCTCTTGACTTGATAAGATGGAATCCTCCATGCATCTCTTCAGAGCTCAGGAGGCTTTTCTGGAGGAAAAAATAATTGTACAGACTATCATTTTCATGTACAGTTATCTTAAAATGGAATAATCAGTAAAAACACTTCTGTGCCTTCTTCTGCCCCATCATCTGGTGCTGTAGACTCAAGGATACAGCTGGTCTTTGGGAACAGGGGAATGCTTTTCAATACTAGTAATGGATCTAGCTTTTCTTCCTCGGGATTAGTTCTTCAAACAGTGACCTTATTTGATTTAAACAAGCCATGTTGGTTCTTCTGCCTTCAACAAATAGAAAAGTCCAATAGGAAATCCACATTAACTCTTATGAATACCAGATATGCATTATTAATTACTCTAATTCTGAAAGGCACTTAGAAACACTTAGTTTTCATCTCTTATAATGCTCCCTGGGGATATCTCAGGCAAAAAAATCATTTGCTTAGGTAGGCAGGAGATTGTGAGGTCTTTCATTTTGTTTCTTTTCCTGAGAGGACTTGGAAAAACTGAGAGACTTCCATTCCTCTGATATAAGACATAAAAAAGTAAATTATTCTGTTTAGAACCCACCACCAAGCAAGATGGACTAGCCAAGATTGTTCCTAGTCTAAGAAAAAGCCAACTCATTTAGGCAAAATCAGATTGTACTTTTCTAGAGAGTAAATTTGAGACAGCATTTTTCAAACATTTGTCTTTACTATACCTCACAGCAAAAAATGTAATTTACATCATTTACACACACATATATATATTTACCTGAAATAACATTTTGGGATTTTTGGGGGGTTTTTTAATAACATTTTGTGAAACATCACTTATTCATACCACATGCTATGAACTCTGATATTTTCATCTCTTCTATTTCATCCTATTCAATTCTATTTCATTCTTTTTAAAATACTAGCTGCGACTCACAAAATTGGCTTCCCAATCTATGACCCACAGTGTGAAAAAAAAGTCTTGGGGGTAGGAGAGAAAGAAAATAATTTTATCATAAATCCTCTAAATCCTCCCACTTCTATTGAAGATGCTTAAATTTCCCATTGAAGATGGCATTGCTTTAGCTAAAAATGTTCTCTATTATTAAAATGTAAATGAACCCTGAATGGGTATGAGATTAAACTTGGTCTATCATTTACATCTTTATGAGACTGAAAATATTACATGACGTCACAACACATCACACCACAACAGAAAAGAGGTCAGCTTGAATAAGGGAGGAGATGAGAGTGACAATAAGAATGCTCTGAGGAAGGACTGGGTGAAGGGCTTCTAAGGAGATTAGGGCACCTTGGTGATCCTAGACCTTTGCCCTCTCCCCATGTGAAGGTAGAGAGAATGTAGGGGGGTTTTTTTAATAACTTTTTTTTAACATTTATTGGTGTCACTTATGGTAGAAAAAAGTATCTAGAGATGTGCATGACCCAGTTGTTAAATAGAACATTTCCAAGGTGAACACATGCCCTAGCTTTTTTACCCACTCTCTAAGATAGCCAATTCCTCCTTTCTCCCCACCCCAAGGCCTCGTCAGCACACCTTGAGTTCCCTGACGGCCCCCCTCCAGTCCAGCACATATCATAGGGCAAGAATGGGAAATGCAGTGCAGAAATGGAAGGAACATAACCCAGCACCATAGGGCCTGCAGTGAGGCTTCCATTAAGCAAGGGAACAACCCAGGAGCAGGAGGCCCCACCTAGCCCCACCTCTTCCCCTTCTCTACACTCTTTCTCCCTCTGGGAATGTCCTTCCCATTTTTCTCCACCTTGCTCACCTTTTCCAATAAGAAGTTTCCAACTCTGCCAGCCTTGGTCTGAACCCCAGGAGCACTTTCTACTAATACCACTCCTCTGTCCTTTCAAAGCAATTTGTGCATACGTCCATCAGAGCACTGCATGCAGAGCATCATCACTGTTTGATTGGCTGCCTCAGTTATTAGACTGTCAGTTCCTTGAGGGACCTAGTCATCTCTAGTACCCAGGACAGTGACCATGCCCCTTACTCATTCATACCTTTCATTCATTTAACAAATACTAATATAGTGCCAGGACACTGGGCCAGGTGTAAGTAGTGCGGTGATGAGCTGCTGTTATAGAATGTTTGTCTATTTGTCAGTGTTGTCTGTTTGTCAATTAATAAATATTTGCTGAATGAATGAAGGGACAGAGGAGTGAATAAATGAACCCCATACTGCCATATACTGTTACCACACCACTTCATCATATACACCTATCCATTCCAGGACAGCTTTGATTGTGAGGATGCCCTTATACTGAATCAGTCTTTTGCCCTGAAGCTTCTATGTATTAGTCCATAAAGAATTAGGAGCAGCTGACAACAGCTGCTATGTCTCTGGGCTTTCTCCTCTCCAACCTAAACATCCTCGGTGCTTTCAGGGGTCCCCAGGATAGCTGCATCAGCAATAACATGGAACAGTTTGAGTTGCCTCACCCATCTACTTGCTCTCCTAGAAACATCTTCCATGTGGTCTGTAATCTCCTGTAAGCATGACGCCATGACAAAACCCCAGCCTCCAGGAGTGCTAACTGCTGCATCTGAAACTCCACATCTACATACCCAACCTCTTGCTATATCAGCTTCTCTGAAAAACACATTCTCTCACTGACTTACTATTAGTGTTGGCCACACACTTATACTTGAACTATATAGGGTTGTTTATCCAGAAACTCCCTTTACTTCTTGAAATTTTGGAATGGCCCTCCTCTTTCCCCCTGCCCATAGCACATTTAAATGACCATTTTGAAAGCTTCCCTTTTTTACATGATTGTGTTTCCCTGGCTACAGGAGAGCCCTTACCAAATGTCCTATCAGAATTCTTTCACAGAATTTTCTGGGTCTCTTTCAAGTCTAGTAGCAAAAGTCAGAAGAGGTAAGACTCACAAGCATTTAAAGGTCATAATGCTGCCTAGCGTGAAAAAATGGTCTGTAGTGAGAGAAGAAAACCCAAAGGAGAGAATGCCACCCAAAGAGAAGCCAAGACTAGAATGGAGGACCCCAGGGCTTTTGTGTCCCTTGCCCAATTTATCCCTGAAGCCCAGCAGCAATATTCCTTCCCTCAGTCTGGTTGTTCTTGGATTCTGAGAGCCAATAAATTCCCTTTTTGCCCTTTTGCCTAATTCCAGTTGGGTTTCTGTAAGTTGCAACCAAAAAAATTCCTGACTAATACAACCCCTAATTTTTTCTTCCTGAGTGTTGCCATGCTGTTCCTAAACCAAATAATCTCATCCTGTACTTACATGTTTTTCAACTCAAAGGTAGGATCTTACATTTACTGCTGCGGAACATCATCTTGTTTTATTTGATTCATAATTCTAGTGTAGCTGTTCACAAATTTGTACACACTACTGTCAGTTGTCCTAAGAAAAAGTGGCTTTTGTAAACTTTTGGTAGCAGAGCTAGTCACCCTCATAAGACCCTGCCGCGTGGCAAGAAAAAAATAAATTTTCCGGTAACAGTGTCTCAAAAAAGTCTTTTAAGCTGAAAGAAACTGATTTGATTCTTTTGAGTAAATTTTTAATCCTTTAGAACACTCCAGCCCCTCTTCTCCAAGATGTTGACTGGCTAAAGGAAGGAATCATGAGATTTCATGAAGATGGAAATGGGGCCCCAAATCCAGGTGACTTCCTCTGGTCCTCCCTGGTCTGTACAGTGGAACAATTTGTCTGGTCTCATCCCAGAGGTGTTGATGACTTCACCTAAGCATTGGGTCATCATACTGGCATCCACAGCTGGATCAGTGGCCCTGACCACGTCGACTCTGGTTACAAACTTACTTTATGCTGTTATCAAATAAAAACAAATCCAGACTTACCAAGGAAAGACTTTATTCAAAAGGATTGTTCCAAAAGAGGGAAGAGAAGTAGGAGTAGGGACTATTGTTATAGGGAGGACGTCTCGAGCATAAGGTCTGCAAGCATCTCAAGAGTTCAGCAAAAATAGTTTTTCTTTTTTACAGAGGAGTTAACAAGACTAAAAAGAATTGGATGTGGGGAAATGGGATGAAAGGGTGGTATGATGGAATAGTAGACCAGAGAATATTTTACCCTGAGGCCAGCCTATTCGTAGAGGACTTGTATGCTGGTTCAGGCTGAGGGTGGGCCAAAGTTCAGAGACCTGGGGTAAGGAGAGAGTCCTAACTAACTAAAGTTCAATTAGAGGGCACCTGGGTAGCTCAGTAGGTCCAGCATCTGACTCTTGATCTCAGCTCAGGTCTTGATCTCAGGGTCATGAGTTCAAGGCTCTGCAATGGGCATGGAGCCTACTTAAAAAAAAAAAACTTAAAAAAATAAAGTTCAATTAAAAAGTATTTTTTTCTGTTTAGTCAATAGACACAAGCAGTTCATCTAATCATTTATGAGGCAAAATGGGAATTTGGAGGATGTGTGTATGGCCTTGTTGTAGATAAGGCAGGCAGCATGGGGAGAATCTTATCTAGGTCATATGGCGGAGGGTGGTTCTTTGCAGTGAACCCTCTCCTGGAACACAAAAGGATGGGGGATTTCTAACCCCTCTCTTATTTTCCAGGATCACAGAGCTCAGGTAAGGTCCAACATTGTCACTGTGAACATTGGTTTTCAGTCCAAGCCCTCTTAGGATCTCCATATGCCCTCTCCAGGGCACGTGAGAATTTCTGGGCTCCGAGAATGACACAGATGGATCACAGGAAGCTGGAAGTGGTGCCTTGGATCCATCTATCAAGCCACCTCTCTGTCAGTGATACACCATCCTGGAAGCTATTGATGCCCATGCCATTGTGAGACTAATTCTAGAAGTTTGCAGGTTACCACAGACTCTGCCTACAGAAATTGACCAATCATCCCAATATGACTGGATTCCCCTTCCATAAACCTATCTGGATACTTCTGCACCCTTGAATTTTGGGGCCCTTGAATAAAGTCCCCAAGGGCCCTACCATCAGACCTTCATACCCTACTCAGTCTCCTTTCTCCTTCCCACAGCCCTCTGAGATTACAAAGGGTGAGTTTTCCTTCCTTCCTTAATGGCTTCTGTGACATGATACCTAAGTCCCTTTGCCCTCAATGATCAAAACCATTAGGAGGAACTAAAGTTTAGAAAATCTATTCTCCCCCACCAAAGCTTGTCTTCCAAAATATAATCAGTCTGTGAACTCAAAACTTCCATTTTGGAATTTAAAGTTCAGCATTGTCTTTGTTCTTGCATTCCTGCTGCAAAAATTCTAATTTTCTGCAAGGCAAATGGGTGCCTCTGGCTGTCTAGAAGGTCACATATAAGGAAATTCAAATATGAAGATCATTTTACATAAATCAAAAATATTATCCCCATTACATTAGCATGGAAATAAAAATGGAACTTATTTGTGTCATCCAAATTATTTAACACTGATCTCATTCACCCATAAATTTGAAAAACTCATCTTCATTGGTAAAAATAATAAAATTATTGAACAAGGTAGAGGATCTTGGAGACGCACCTCTAAAAATATGTTTGCAAATTGACTGTGATCCACAGAGAAAATACTGCTTGCCTCAAATTTATTCTGATGTTAGCCCAAGTAAATCATTTTTGGGGGGCTGTAGTCTACAGACCCTAAAGTGACCCTCAAAGATCATCATCTTCTGGTATTCATGCCTTTCTGTAATCTCATTGCCTTGAGTCTGGGCGTTACTCGTGAGTTGCTTCTAACCAATAGAATATGGCAATGGTGATAAAATGTCTCTCCTTGATTATATTAAGTTGTATAAGACACAATTTTGTTAGAGGCTTTCTCCCTTGCTGGCTTTGAAGAAATAAATGGACATGTTAGAAGGCCCACATGTCAAGAGGGTGAGGGTGGCCTCTAGGAGCTGGTGTAATAGATAGTAGATATATATTGTTTTAAGACACTGTGTTTGTGGCAATTTGTTACATAGCATAGAAAACTAATACAGAATCATATAGTGAGGGAACAAACTGTTCAGATATGTGCCTTGGTTCTGATCCCTGCTTCAGATTATATTGCCTTTTTAGGCAGGTGGCTGAATCAGTACTCAGAAGAGCTAGGATCCAAGACAAATCCCATTAAATGGTGACAAACAATTCCCTTCCCTTCTCTGTGCCTCACTTTTCTCATCTGTAAAATAAGGACATCATAATGGGTGAACTCTAAGGGACCTTTCAACTCAAAAGTTTAATGTCCTATCATCCAAAAAGAGGAAGATACCCTTGAAAGGCATTTGAAGTGAGGTGAAACAAAAAGGAATGAAATTTGGAAATAATGGAACAGAAATGAGCAAGTATTGAAAACTGAAAGGAAATTCAGCCCTAAATAAAAAGTTGTAAAAATCCCATATACTGATAGCCCCATAGAAGTCAATGAAATGAAACAACCCAGACCAGTCACAAATGTGATGCTGGCACGTCTAACAAGTGGGCAATGGGGCTGTTAGTACTTCTCAGATTAGTTTTATGGACTTCATTCTGGAGACATATATTGTTAAAAAAAGAAAAGAAAAGAAAAGAAAAATTCTAGTTCAAATCTTTTCCAGTGAAAGAAAAAAGAACTTACCTTCAGCCCAACTCTGAGAAACTTAATATGGAAATCCTCTTCGTGTTCTCTACCCCTAATAACAGACATTGCTCAGTTATTAGACCACTGTCATGACTTCTGGTTAGTTGGAAGAGCAGAGCCAATGTTCTTAGAAGTAAATCAGAGCAACAAACTCATGTGAAATAGTTTTGTGGGTCTCCATTTTTTAATGCTACATAAAGAAAGGCTTTGAATAGTGCTGGATTCTGGGAAGAACCACGGTGAGTATTTTCTAAGATTTCAAAGTCAATGGGGGATATAACTGAAAACATAAATTCTAAAACCATCATAAGCCGAATGTTGGAAAAAGAGAAGCAAGTGTTCTTTTCAGTGTGAAGAAAAAAAAAAAACCTGCTCATTAGAGCCTTAGAATGAATCTACTCTTATAAGTCTAATCCATGAATAAACTAAGAAATAGAACTTTGCTGAAAAATTCCTCATGGATTTACAAGTTGCTATAAGTCCCCAGGGAGTGGGGTTTGAGCTATAAAGTTGCCTAAGGTACACAGCTCTGTACAGTGTAGTGAGAATTTGGAAACTGACATCTCTCCACAACAAAGACACTACTGATACCAAAAACCAGACCTATCTGGCTTTCTGTCCCCTGTGTTAAATAGTACTTAGTGTGGGTTTAAGAGTAACTTAATGGTTGCTGGCTTTAAAAAGAGGGAATTTTTGAGGGACTATTGGATATGGGAAAGCAGAAGTGCCTATCTAGATTTCTTTAAAACCTGGGACATGGAAGTCATTTAATTAATTTTTATCTTAAATTGATAATTATGAATGGTGTAATAATACTCAAAATTCTTAATTACTTAAGAACATATAAATAAGACCTGAAAACAAATGTACGTATACTTTTATTTTTCTTGTCAAATGAAATCACAATGTTAAAGAGCCCAGCAAATAGAAGGTATCAATAAATTTAGGT